CAAAAGATGTGAGGGCCCAATAACCGCAGACATTAAACTCCATGACTGTTATTAAACACTTAAAATCTCTCATGAACCGACCCGGCCTTTACCGTTCAGCTCGTACGCTTCGCATCGTTGTTCGCAGGTCCGGTGTGGAACTGTGACCACAGCTCAACAGTTCGATCTGGCTAATTTGTCCACCAAGTCACGGCCTGATTTGGCTAATATTTCCAACAATTCACAACTAAACCTGGCTAATTTGACTGAAAATTGACAGATCGATCTTGCTAATTTGTCTAATAATTTACTGCTCGGACAAGCTCATATACGACTCTAGATGGAAATTTTTTGTGTACTGTTTGAACCAATGGTTGGCGCATGTTTATTCGTGCATGAATTAATTTGTTGTGTTAATCATGGAAACAATGAGAATAATCGTAATGTATAAACTTCTTATCAAATTTGCTGCTTCATTGTGGGATGTAATGCCGTTTTGTCCAAGCTTGAAGCCAACATATTGGGCATATTCTCAAGTCACATTCCCCAGCGGACTGAGTTTGTTATCCTCTGCGTGCGCAAGAAGGGTGCCGCCATCGATGAGTATTCCAGAGGTGTGATGCCACTTTTTGTGATAATTATCTTGCGCAGATCCCAAGTGATGGATTAAGGGCACAAGCTCCCTTGGCAGCTTCTGACTTCCATAACAAGGGCCGAGTGTTACACTCGCCGAGAGGTGCCAGATGGTTATGACATGCTCCTGCTACTTCATAGAGGTTATGACATGCGCCTGCTACTTCATAGTTCATCATACAGCTCAGCCCGACATGTCAGGAACATAATTTATTCCGCCCTAGTTTCAATATCTAAGCACAAGTGTTTTCTGATGTTGTTCTAAGTTATTAGTGTAGAATTTTAGATTCATTTTACAAATATGTTGAAAATTGACTGTAATCTTTGCGTCATCAAATGGCCAATAAATCTTTTATTTCATAAATATTTGGACGAGAGGTGATACATAACCAATGCTTTATTTATGTCGCCCATTTTTATATGAGACCCGACTAAACGAAATAATTTTTACATCAACGAATATTTATTTTTCTATTCAAAGCCAAGCTAAGGAACGATAAAACACTGGTGAAACTAAGTAATAACGAAATTGTGGCGCAACTTTGTTACAAATTAACTTGCATTTAAATCACTCCTTCATTTAATTTCAAATGAGTTAAAAATGTGATTTACAGAATTTGGGCTGTAAGAAGACACGCTAAAGTACTAAAATTGTAAATTTAAGGATCTTGATGTGCGCTCTAGAGCCAATGAAGGCATTGATCGTCGTTAGTATTCCTTCTGTCATGTCCTGCTGCATTCGAGATGCTAATTCTAGCACAGAATAAAGCGATCAGGATTTGGTTGCATATGGTGCCACCGTTGGCGTGGCCATGGATGGACACGATCTCAAGCTGTTATTAGACCATAACATACGAATAGCCTTAAACGGCGGACATTTTGTCCGCCGACCATAATATACGAATAGCCTTAAACGGCGGACATTTTGTCCATATTCTAAAGGCTCAGTATCCTACGCGGGTGTAGCGATTCATAAATGTATTTTAGGGCCTCATGAGCTGTTATTGGACATTCAATCAATTAATGATTATATCCAACTTATTTAAAGAAGTAAACTCAACGCAATCGACGAATGAGACACGCAATAAAACAAGACGTGCTGCACGAGGCGCAGCTCAGTGCCATCCTCCGGCTGGTACACCGGCGAGTTTTTATTGGTATTTTTTGGTGCCGTGCAATGACGGCGGCTCGAGTTTGTTCTTCTCAATAATGCCTGAGATTATGACGGTCTTTGACAGGCGCACGAGTTTGTTCGGATAAATAACGTCTCAGATAATAAGGCCCGAGCCTTATGAATGAAGGCTGTTAGGTACATGAACTTAGTGGGTGAAGTGGGTGCATGAATGTCGAGGATGAAGTGGGTGCATGCACTTCGTGGGTGAAGTGGGTGTATGAATGCCGAGGGTGAAGTGGGTGTATAAATGCCGAGGGTGAAGTGGGTGTATGAACTTCGTGGGTGAAGTGGGTGCATGAACTTTGTGGGTGAAGTGGGTGTATGAACTTAGTGGGTGAAGTGGGTGCATGAACTTAGTGGGTGAAGTGGGTGTATGAACTTAGTGGGTGAAGTGGGTGCATGAACTTTGTGTGTGAAGTGGGTGTATGAACTTAGTGGGTGAAGTGGGTGCATGAACTTAGTGGGTGAAGTAGGTGCATGAACTTAGTGGGTGAAGTGGATGCATGAACTTAGTGGGTGAAGTGGGTGTATGAACTTAGTGGGTGAAGTGGGTGGATGTACTTTAATTTCTTCCTTCTTAATATTGTTATTCCTTTTATAATTGATTTGGAGGTCCGATAAACGCGTGCTCTGCTCACGCAAGCGAATTCAAACAAGTTATGCTAACTTGGGCAACTCTGAGCGATTTTTTTGCATTCACATGTGTAACAAATCTCCAATTATTTGTGTGAAGTAGTAGTTACATATTTATTCAAAAATATGTTGAGAAGTAATAACTTTGGTTATTCTGCGATTTTTGACTTCATTCTCATTTTTATTTATTTTCGAAACTTATCCTTCCTTGGAATTTTTGTCAATTCAACTTTTATTTTAAAATGCATGCTTATATTAAGGTGATTATAAAAACGATCTTCTTCCTCTTTAGTTATGGTGACAGCTGACAAAATAATCCCCAGTACGATTTTCAGGATCTGTAGCCTTTAATTCAAAATGAGTCACATTTGAGTACTCGGACTCAGCTGTATTTACATCCCGATGAGGTGGCTTACAAAATTACTTGCCGTTCGTGATAACTGCAGGCGAATGGCAGCAAGATCGCTACCCAAGGCGTGTTAAACTCTCCCACCGCTGAACACAGCCTCATTCCTGCATCTTCATTTATATTTTGCGGCTCTAAACGTTAGTTTTAGTTTTTATATTCTTTCGTATACTTCAAGAGACTAATTTTCTCCTGTATACTTATACTTATAATGACGAGACGTGAATGTTAGTGATTCTTATGTTTTAGCGGCCGCGCTCGGTGAAACGTTGAATTCAGGCCAGATGCATTAATTTAAAACCTTCGTAAAATATTAGTTAAGAGTTGGGTATTATTATAAAATAATTTTGAAACTTGCCTAAGTTGGTAACGATCTATTCGAAATTAGAAAAAATTAAACCTCAGATCGAGGCTCAGTTCCAGCCTAAACATTTTACTTATTCTATTCGTATCATACAAAACACCACGATGCCCATCTTGCAGGTTTCAGCACAAGTGTCTATGAGAACCTGATAATATTCACGTTTCGATGTCTCCATTGCAACTAATTTTTGACATTTATTTGTTCACGTAGAAGAAGTGTCTGGGACCGGGACACATCATGGGACACTAGTGTTAACTTTTCATAGTTTGTGCTCCACGAGGCTCTGATATATTTAAGCAAATGAAACATTCATCACTTCATAGGCGATGCGGTGCTAAAATAAAATTAGTTCATCATTTTTGATGTTGATAATAATTTTTTCTATGGAGCCCCTACGTATGATTTACGCTGATGGAAGTCTTTGCCAGTTGAATTCTGAAATGAATACGATCTAAAACCTTTTCTCCGACCATTATATCAATATTTATTTCAAATGTCAAGTTCTTGATACTTATATTTTAATAATTAACTGTTTGTATTCATATTTAATCGACTGACTTTTTTAGTCGGAATGTCTCACCATTGAAAAGTTCAAGTTGTTTAGCTACTTGATTCGACAATCACTTCAATCCAGTTACCGCTGATATCACCGTATTTATAGGCCGTATGAATGATGGACTAATTTCGGTAATTCGTTGTTTCAGAAGGCATTTTTCCTTAAGCTCTACCGTCGTACAGGATACTTAAAAGTTCATAGGTTGCTGCTTTATTAAAAATCTTCAAATTAATGAAATGAAACCCCGTATATTATATGCTGATGCTTTCGGAACGGCTGTTAGCGCACATTACATTAATTTCTCTGTCCATTGTTACCATCCGTCGGTTGAAAAACAATTTCACTTTCGGCAGTATTTCAACGCGTCGATGCAATAAATATACTTTTGTGTAGCTCAAGACTTGCGTTGTACGCATCATTTAAAAAATTGAACTATTATGATATTCTTTTTAATGTCTTTGACATTATTCTTTTAATGTCTTTAATGTAAACACTTTGACTGAGCTTATCCGTGATGGTACGAGAACATCTTCTAGAGAATCGCTCGTATCTTATGTTGCTGATGTAGAATACTTATTAGATTACTTATTACTTTTACTTATTTATTAGATTTTCTGGATAATTTCCCAAGCTTCTCGTAAAACTGGTTACATTGTTTTAAAGCTGTCAGTGCGATTCATTAAACGATTATTCCTGCAGTGCTATAGTCGTTTGTAATGACAAAGCGAAATGATGGTCGCTGCTGATTAACTTGTTTAAAGTCATGTCCTTCAGATGACAATGTTATCTCCTTCTGTCATCAGCGATGTAATTGATGATGACTGAAGTTTAGGCTTAATTAATTAACGTTCATTAAGGCAATATGGGATCTGGTTAATTGAGGTAGCTAACAGGGTATTCTTGTATTTAATCTTTCAAATTAAGTTATGACGCAGCTTAGCAATGTAATTTCTATTTAGTTATGATGCAGCCTAATCATGAACATTATATCGAGCTATCATTGAGCCCAGTAATGAAATTTCTAATGATTTATCATGCAGCCTAGTCACGACCTTTCCATTGAGTTATCAATTATCATGTAGCCTAGTCATTGTCCTCCCATTGAGTTATCATGCAGCATAGTCATTGTCCTCCCATTTAGTTATCATGCAATATAGTCATTGTCCTCCCATTGAGTTATCATGCAGCATAGTCATTGCCATCCCATTGAGTTATCACGTATTTGCCTCACACAACGTACGTACTATACCAACAGATATCGAGAACGAGTGCTACCCAGCCATCCCTATGACGGAGGTGGAGACGCCGAAGCCTACGACCATAAGGCCTCTGGAAGATATACGCCCTTCTTTGGCCTTACCCTTGGCCTCTGACTCAGCGGCGACGAAGGTCTTCTCTTCGTCGTCGCCTTCGTTCCGAGATATTATAGATTCGAAGCCGTCGTGGGAGGACGGCCATGAAGGAAATGTTGTTGTGCTAAAAAGTGAGAGCGTTAGTATGGATCTGGACCACGAGGACACCGATGTCGACAGAAGCTTCGATTCCGATGACGATAGTGATGATGAGCCGCCCGTGAACGAAGATCTCAACACTTGTGACTACGATGGTGGTTTTTCCTCTCATTCTTGGAATTCCAAAAACGCCATTGACATTGGCATGTTGTTAGGCTTAGATGTGCCCCAAAATGAAGTTGTTGTTGCAGACTCGACTGAATCGGATGCGAGTTCTTCAAGCACCATCTCTGCTTTCAGTGACGTATCTTCTTTTTCCTATAAGAATGTTACTGAATCTGAAAAGCCAAAAGAACCGGAGAAACAAATCAAAACAGTTCATCTTGTTTCTCCAAAAGAAATTTTAACAATGAATAATAACGTGAAAGGAGCTTGTGACCAGCTCGCTTCGAAGTATAGAAAAGAAAATTTAAACACCTCGGCTTCGCAGCGTTGTGGAGTTGTCAACAGAATCGGTATTCACACTCTCAGCAGAAGCGAAATTGAATCAACTAATAAGGTGAGAAATAATGTCCCCTTTTTTTCATTATATATATAGTCATACCGAACTTTAGTCCCATATGAGCCTCTTGAGCCCATCAACTAAACTATATTGAATTTTTAAATGTTATATTTTGTCTCTCACGTGTTGTCCTCAAATTTATTTATGAATTTGCTAATGAAGCTGTCAGTCAAGTCAATTATTCTATGATAAAGTTTGATCGGCTGTTGTTCGTTCGTATCGTAATTAAACTAAAGGCTTATGTTTATTGATAGGGCATGTGTGGTCGATACATTGCGTGCGGAACTTCGGTTTAGGTCGACTCGGCTCTGAGAAGTGAGCTTCTGTGGAAATATTTAGACTCGCACTGCGGCGCTGCTTAGCTCGTTTGTCAAAGAATATTTCACCAGTTTTCTTTGAAACTCATTCAAAGCTGTATTACATGCCATTAAAATCCGCAAAAATCTGTAAAAAAAAGTCCATAGAGAAAATTGCCATTCTCGCGTTCCTGATCGAATGCTGGATATGTCTTGCAGTTTCACTCTGATGGTCCATTTGGTTTACAAAAAATTGCCTATAATGTGACTTTAAATCATGAAGAGATGCAGTCGTTGTCGATACAAAGCAACGCGCTTGGTTGGGGTCCAGCTCTGCGGTTGATTAAGTAAGCTATCAGGTGTTATCAGACGACTACTGGATAAGTAAGCTATCAAAGCATTATCTGAAGCCTGCCGAAAGTACCCAACTATTGTTGTCGTGTTCTTCAGTCACTTAATTGAGCCATTGATCCGAGAAACCTTATCGTTGGATACCGACTCAACAGTTCAATTATCTTGACGACAGCTTCTTTAAATGTTCCGAACCGGCTACCACCAGCGCTCTGCCGCCTCCCAGGCGCGAACAGCTATGTCAACATTGACCAACCTTTCCTAGCGTCTAAAAAGCTAGAATCTAAAATTTAAATCCTGGTCTTCTTAATTTTATGATAAATAAAAATTTGTTCTGTGCCTTTGATTCATTCACTTTTTGCAAGCAATCAAAGTAGAAACGAATCGTTGCACATGAAGTAATTTATATGTATTTTCAAATGAAGCTTTAGCTTCACTACAAGTTCTGAGCCAATAGATAAATATTTTGATTCTGGATTTTATCCATGTGTTTAATCCCTTTGAAAGGGAGATATATTGTTTCGTTATACTACAGAGGGCACGTATGACGCACGACGAACCTTAGTTACCATGCCTGGCTCTCCAATTTTGTTCTCACAGGCCCAAAAACAGGTGATAGTAAATTGAATTTTACCTACGAAATTGGCTTGGTATAAGAATCCTCCTGCGGGAATTTTTTTATTTGTTTTGATAGACGTCTTACGGCTTCTTAAGTGTATTGAGTAAATATACTGGATAAATTCGAATGGTGCGGGACAGACGGATGGAGAGATACTTCAACTTCAAACTTAGCCTTTTTTCAATCGAAATAATTGATTTAATCTATGTTACATCGACGCTCAAAGTCTTGCTTGAAGTTCAACTGCAAACAAGCTTGAAAAACCCGCTGTTTGTGAAGCTACGTGTGGCGCGATGCAGTCACCGAAGTTTATCAATCTATCACGAGTTGCCCCATAAGATCGCCATGTTAACCTGATAAGCTTTGCTAAATGACATCGAATTGAGTTGTTGGAAGCGAGATAAGCTCACTGCCTGTACCTGTTCACTGGCGGGGAGCCGGAGTGGTCCGGCCACCCATGCAGGCTTTGCCTGGCGACCATACTTTTTCAAACTGGTTTCGCGACCAATTTAAAACACGTCAATTTGATGCTACTAAAATAATCGAGACTTTGAGTAATATTTTTTCTTACAATGCAAGAAAAAATTATTCTATGCCTATCTTATGTGACATTTTAGCTTTTTATTCTTTCCTGATGGAGTTTAAATTATTGTTCAAACTCTACCGAAATTATGTCATGTCCGAAAAGTTTGATGCACATTTTACGTTTATATTATATATAAAAAAATATTAAATTTAATAATATATATATGAAAATATTATATTATATATAATATTTTCATGTTTCGGCGGCGTAAATGTTCGGTAACTCCATTTTTTTGGAAGATGACGATTTTCGAGCATTAGGTATAATGCTATTTACAGTTTAGTAATGAAGGTTCCTTTTTTTGGTCACTAGTCAGTTTCAGGTAAAGGCCCTCTCATACTCATCTCAAACGCATGTCAATCATAATTGTTTTCATCTTTGTTTACATCTTGTCTGCAATTATGTTTATAAAGCAAGTCTGTGCTCCAAATTAAATTGTTGAATTCAAACGCTTGGATATAAATATGAAATTTAGCAAGCTCACTAATTTTTTTTATCAAATTGACGCGCGTTCTTCTTCTAAACAACTCAAAATAACTGACAATATTCAGAAATAGCACGTGGTTGCGTAAAAGTTTTTGCTCAGCTGTGTGAATTAAGCTCACTGTTCAAGTGCCAACAAAATAACCGTTGAATTTTTACATCAAATTTGCGCTAAATTTACCAACATTTGCATGCTATAGTTAAAAATTGATATATCCTCTCATCAGATCTACAAACTTAATTTTTTCGTTTCAGGTGGTTCATCGGCAGATAATTGTACCTTCTTCGAGTTCGAACAACTCATCGTCTTCTTCGGCATCGCACATGATTCGGTGTGGAGGACCAACTTTGACCTCATCAACTGTGCCATCTTCGTCTTCTAGAACATCAGCCTCTTCCTTATCGAGGACAGCATTCGACACCAGACACAAAATAAACGTTTCGATGGCTTTATCCGTGAAGCCATCTACTGTGCCAAAATCTCCTTCCATTAAAGATAACTTATTAAAAGTCCAGCAATGCAGTTCGAGCCTTAACCGTGTGCCTGTGACAGGACTGGAGGGTTCCACTGAAAACAGAAATAACGCTGAAACTTTCGAACGACCGCGACTCGAGGTGGATTCAAACGTATCGATGTGCGGCGATGTTGATTTGAACTTTTTTAACGTCAAGTCAATCCGACCTCATTCTTCTTCCGCTTCAGGTGAGTCTGAGTGGGATACTCTGATCAGTACACATCACGATCAGGATACTCTTTAGAAGAATAAATATTGCATGAACTCTTTATGATGCCGTTCATTAATTGCTTCTAAACTGAAGACTGATGTGTCATGTGAACGTTGTGCTATATTCTAGTATATGTCATATGTTTCACAACGTAATATCGTTGAGACTCAGTGGGTAAGCTTCTCTTCTCTGTTTTGTAATTTTAATCGCCATTCTTAGTTTTGTGTTCATATCCCCTTCAAAGTTTTCAAAGGAACGCTTAAATGATATTCGGGAGCAACTGATTTGTTTAAATCAAGAACGTTTGTGCAACTTGCCCTGTACGTTACCTGAGCCTGCCTCTTAATTTTCTGATGTGACTAAAAGCGTTTGAATTAATACGTTTAGGTGCGCTCAGTGCCTTATATATTGCCTCTCAAGTATCGAGCCCAACACAGAGACGGGCGCTTATCTTGGACCCTGAAATACGAGGAGCGTGAGTCTGGTCTTAGAGATAACGCGAGATCTGTGCTCATTTCTGGAAGCCTGACCTAGATACAGATCTTGGGAGGATAGCTTCCTCTTGATTATTTATGTCTATTACTCATACTAGCTTCTTTTTCTTCGTATAGAGAACAAATGTGATGAAACGCTATAACATAATTATGGAAGTTTTTCCATGGTCATGAAGAATGAGAGCCCTCGAAAATGAAAGAATGAATGACGATTCGTGAAAACCCTTAATTAACCAAAATTTGCAATCCCAATGACATTCAAAAAGCATGACTTCGGCACAGTAATCCATCCCAAGCCCAGTTAAATTATTATATCTATTGATAGTCACTATCAGATTTCGAGGTTACCGACAAACACGTCTACAAAAAAAATATAATTCAGTACCCACTGCAGTGAGTGACAGAGAGCGTATTTTCTCGTCGACAAAAACGTGAAGTTACGGACGGACGGACAGACGAACATGGCGAGCACAATAGTGCATTTTTTCATATATGAGAAAATGCGCTAATAAGACTAAATAAAACATTTATAATCGATGAATTGAATTAATCTGTAATAAATTATCTTCGCCCTCTGGCCCAGGCTTCATAAAATAATTATAATTGATGAATTCAATGAATTTCTTATAAATTACCTTCGCCCTCTGGCCCAGGCTTCATAAAACATTTATAATCGATGAATTGAATTAATTTATAATAAATTACCTTCGCTCTCTGGCCCAGGCTTCAGCCTGCCGCTGACGCCGCCCTCCTACAGCAGCAGCGACAGCGACAGCAGCGGCCTCTCCCCCGAGCGCTGCCCGCCGCTCTACGAGACTCTAGCGCCTCATCTCTGCAGCCCCAGACGCTCCAACTCCCGCCACACCTCTGGTGTACGACACCCCATACACACCCCGCTCATATCCTCGCAACCGGTGGGTGTGATAGAGATCAGGGATGCAATATGTATTCAGGATCGAGATAATTAAATTACTCGGGGTTATAAGATACACCCCGCTCATATCCTCGCAACCGGTGGGTGTGTTGGAGATCAGGGAGGCGATATGTATTCAGGGCCAAGATAATTAAATTACTCAGGGTTAAGATACTTACTCAAGGATTAAGATACTGGACTCAAGGTTAAGATAATTATTCTGGGTTAAGATTTACTCGGGGATAAAATATGTACTCAGGGTTGCAGTAAGTACTCAAAATTTCGGTAGAGCCTCAGAGTTAAGATCAGTACTGCGAATCATCATCATCAGTACTCGGGTGGTTCATGTAAGAGTTTCAATGTGTGTGAGTTTCTCTTCCCGAAATTATTTTACTGTTCAGTAATGCTATTAAACTTTTAATATTATTATTGTTTTGGTTTTCTGTTGCAAAATAACCACTTCACATGTTTTATCTCAAAATTATTTTCGTAATTACTTAACTATTGTCCTATCTTTTAAACTTAGAGCTGATCATCTTGGTAGGCAAATAATTTGCCTTTATTTTCCTACTTCAGACGTAATGCGCCAATTGATTAAGCTTTTAACGACCGCGCGGTAAATTCGCACACAATAACAGCATTTTTACGTTCATTTCCATTCAATTGGAGGTTTTGTTTCATTTTCTATTTTTTTTAACCTCCCATCAAAAGCCGAATTTCAAGCATCAAGAAATACAAAAAATTGTTCAGAAAATCAGTTGGTATGTAACATACTGGAGTTAATGTCTTCCAAGAGCCACTTGAGATTATTTTGCTGCCTGCCTGTGCAGAAAGGTGCGACGGGTGTACTGCAGCTGACGGAGGAAGAGAAGCGCACCCTGGTGTCGGAGGGCTACCCTGTACCGACCAAGCTTCCTCTTACCAAAGCTGAGGAAAAGTCACTCAAAAAAATACGCAGGAAAATTAAAAACAAGGTTAGGACTTTTACATAAATCTAATGAATTTAATCTAAAAAAATTATTAATATTTATTAGATGATCAATGTTCCATTACATTCATTCTATAGATATTAGATTAGATAAAATTGTTTTCACTTTTTTTTTGTTGTAAAAAAGCGTTTCGGAGAAGTCTGCGAAATATGTTCAGCATCATAGAAATTAATGAGAGGTTATGAAAATAACAAATATTTGCAAATTGTTGATCGCATCCACTGCCAGTCGCTATATTTTTATAGGAACTTTACTGTCCTGGTCATAAGGATAATAACCCAAATGCTCATTCACTTACATTCGATAAAACAAAATAAAATACAACGTAGGCGCTGAGAAGTGCAGCGATGAGTGTTCTCGAGTGGCTCCGAGTGTGATCGACTCGTAACTAATTCTATATTGGCTTGTGTAAATGTATCAATGGATCTGCGTTTTATTTTCTTTCGTTAAAAAGTTTCAAACAGACAGTCATGTTTGGCTTGCGATGTAGCTGATTAAGAGAATTTCCTAGGTTTTTAATTATAGATTCATCTTCCTCCTCGTGTCTGGGAGCTAACTGGATCTAAAATTGTATTCGAGGTGGCGGAGTGGCAAGGGAGATGTCATTTAACGGATTCTTGCCATCTTTTCGAATTTCGAAGATTTCTCGTGACGATCGGTGAGAAGAAGCGATCCACGAAATAATTCCTAACGTTCGTGTTGTGTTGCAGATCTCAGCGCAGGAGTCGCGGCGCAAGAAGAAGGAGTACGTAGACCAGCTCGAGCGGCGAGTCGACGATCTCGCGGAAGAGAACAGACGCTACCGTCGACGGCTGGACTCGCTGGCGTCAGCGAACGCGCGGCTGTCGACAGAACTGCGCGCGTTGCAGGACACCGTCGCCAAGCAGGAGAAACATGTCTCGCGAGCCACGCCTCTGGCGACGATCCTGTAATCGTTGGGAGTCATGTTCAAGGAAACATCATCCTTTAATCGTCGGCAGTCATATTCAAGGAAACATCATCCTTTAATCGTCGGCAGTCATGTTCAAGGAAACATCATCCTTTAATCGTCGGCAGTCATATTCAAGGAAACATCATCCTTTAATCGTCGGCAATCATATTCAAGGAAACATCATCTTTTAATCGCCGGCAGTCATGTTCAAGGAAACCGATGTTTCTCGCCTAGTACAACGCAGCATTAATCGGATTGACCATTACGTGCCTATTGTGGACGCTCGTTACCCGTGTTTTTTAATTGTTGTGCAAAAACAATCAACATCTCATTTATTTCAAACTAGAATTTTCTATCGCATGATGTTCCAGGAAATTTTCAGGTTCTTTCATTCGTAATGAGACTAATCCGCTGTTCTCGTGTTAAATTTTTAACGGACATGTGATTTACGCTACAAATCGTGAATATGTGTTATTTTCGGAATTTAATTTTTGCAATCATCTTGTTTTGATCTTTTTCATTCAGCTCATATTTCTTCGCAATCTTTTCTTTTGGAATCTCATCGATTGTTTGTCGCTAATTTGCATTACTCCTATAAATTTAGGTTCTGTACAGAATTTCTCAGAGGGAGATTTCTGATAAAAATAGGAAAACTTTGTCTTATTGCCAACACTATGATGAGTGACTTGAGAATGCGGACAATGCTACATGCTCCGTGTAGGATCATGTATGATCATGTTGAGCTTGCCTTCTAATTCAAGACTTGAACCAAAATACTGGTTATCGACGGATAAAATGATATTTGGTAGGACGAACTCGTTACGTACAAATATGTGTGAATTCGTTGAAAAATTTTGTTGCGAAGCTGCAGATGAAACCCACTTGCTTCAATAACAATGTTTTATCATTCCAACAATGTTAAGTACCAAACATTCATGTGGGTTGATAACACAGAGCATCGCATGGAACCGGCAATGTAACATCGCTTCGTTGATGCATAGATTCCTAAATTAAATACCGAGTGAATTGGGTTGGCACTGACCCAGGTTAACCCGGCTTGGCAGGTTAGCTCGGTGCAGCAGGATAAAGCCTGCGTGGGGAGCGCAGCCGTGCACCACCAATTTTGTGCACCAATAAGCCCTGAATTGAACGCCTTGGATCTCTCCGGACATCCACCAACCAGCCGTGCACCACTCAGCTTTGTCCTCTTCCGGCCTTGACCACCACCAGCCGTGCAACACCAGACCGCGGATCGAATATGACTTCCGAGTATCGTTAAATTACGTAATTTTACGTTCACCGCATCTGAGGTTATGTTTTAGAAAGCGTAGTTCTGTTCCAAAATTTATCGTCCTTCGACAAGTGGCCGTTCGACCGAGGGCTGGTTCGACGCACGGCCTAGATACGGACGGCTTGAAGTGTTGAAGGCTACGTTCCGGAAGGCAGGAATCATGATGGTCCATTACATCCAGGGCAGTGGTGGTCTTCGGCAGGCGACCCGCCTGCGTGGCAAAGTAACGAGTCGTTGGTCGTTTTGATGAGCGACGTCTCGCTTGGAGGAATGGTATTTTTATTAGCGGCGCACCACGCACAAGCATGACAGCGCAGATACAATCTTACCGCGCCACTTCTAAATAAACAAAATGGCTCTTCTCTAGCGCTTTTCTAGCGCAGACTGCCAGTGTTGCACTGGCAGTCTTGAAAGCTTCTAACATTTGACACACCTCAAACAGACAGACATTCTTGAAAATCAAAGATTATCTTGAATATGTAAATGTAACGAATGTATGCATCGAAAATTTTATGACAATGCTGGTACTCTGTTTATTTGCTATAGTTAGACATTTATACTCGCTTGTGGAATATCAAATTATTTCTTTGAAGGTTTCATTCAGATTTAAGCTCTAATTGGTTAAATTCCCTGTTCGAGCGCAATATCGAATTCATACTCCAGATTTTCTGGGGATTTTGGGTTTCTGGAGTTCAGGGTTTGTATTTGGGACTATGGCACAATATTCCGAGCAATGTTTAGATAACTTCAAGAGTTACTTTACTTTGTTTCGAAAAATTTTATGGTTTAAATGCTTCTTAAATTTTCGTAGCAATACTATTTTGCTTTTGAGTTGAAAAACGAGAGCGAATAAGGTCACTCATCTATAAATATTTAAAATTGCCACCTGACGTGATAGGTTCGACACTAAGAAAAGTTGAAGGAATGCAACATGAAGGCCTCATGATGATTTAGTTATGGCGGGGCACATCACAGTTATTCTAAAATCAGATATAAAATTATAAATCTATTGTCATTCAACTTGTTTACCTCGCATTTTATCTCAACTTATTGTTTTCTGGATTATCGATATTTAACGTGAACAAAGATACAGCCTTCTATGTACAGGGGAACATTTAAAAATAAATACCCTGAATCGGTCAGCTGTTTCTACTGATACAATAAGAGTTGAATAAGAGTAATGTTTTCAGCTATTTCTATTGATACAATACTATGTTGAATAAGAGTAATGTTTTTTCCTGGGCTGCAATACAACTAACGGGCCATTGAATGTTGCGTTCGATAAATTGTGATTTCAACCTTATGGCATCATAAATTAAGGGTTATGTTTAATGCTGCTAACCTCGTTGATCGTCGTGAAGATCAGGAGCCATATCATGTGTGCAGCATGTGCCTTGCTTAAGTAGCCTTAATTTGTTAATAAGTTATTCAGTAAGAGTGCCTTAGCTTTCCATTTTTTTAATTATCGCTAAAATTTAAACTGTAAATGCTTGATGCGAATCCTACTTGTGACTTTAGACCATAAAACTTGCAATGTTTAAGTTATGAAATAGGATTTAGTCGTAAAAAACAGAACGCCCGAAACACGCTGCAATTTTTTGTGCCTCCTTTGTAACTTGAAACTTGAAGCGATAATGCGGACATCAGTAAACGGGAGTAAATAAGGAGTTTTCCTCTGTCTGCATGGAGAGAATAATTGTTGGGAGCAACGAACATATCAAGATGGATCTGGAGTGATGGAGTTGCGTCTGGGTATCCTATCTACCGTTTATTCTATCGCTCTATTGAGCCATCGTCATGAAGACTCGCAATCCTCCGCTGTATCGCGGACGAACGGAAAAATATCACGGTTATGGAAAATTATTACCGTGTTCTATTATGCAGTAGTGAATAGCTCATTTTATTTTGAATGTATCTCTTCCAGCACGATTTATTAGTCAAAATGGAGCTCCTATATTATGATTGGAGTTATCGATAAAATACAAAATTATTGCTCAATCGACCGATTATTTGGTTCAGTTATGCGAGTCGTGTGTAATTCCACGAAAATATAGTAAAATTATGTTATATTCGTTATTGAATCTGACTGTTGACTCTAAGCAATAAATTTTCCCGCTAGAAATGTTAAATTTTATCGTTTAGAATTACTATACTCTAAAATTTAGCGAATTTTACATTCCTGACAATAAGTGCCTTGCTGTTATATTTATTCTTGTTAATTGTTGAGAGAGGCCATGTTTTTCTACTTAATACAGTGTACGCGTAAGTGTATGATGATTTTTACTGATATCATTTAAGAATACCGCAATACTGCCTAACTTTGGCCACTTATAAAACTAACTTTACACAGCTTCATGGAAAAAATCGTAGGGCAACTTTTTCCTTTTAATTTTATACTTAGTTCATTTTCAACGCTGACAGCTAGGATACGAGTTGTGGAGCATGTATTCATCGTTTAAAAAAAAAAGTATTTGGTAACCAAATAAAAGTTTTTATACATTAATTTTCTCCCACTCTCGCCAATTGTGTATTGAGGAATATTTAATCCCAAGAGATAAATTGTAGGCTGAGATACTGCAGCGAGAGCAAATTTCCATAAAGGGGTCAAAGTTAGGCGGTTTGACGGTATAATTCAGTTGCTGCTCACGTTGGTCTGTACAATGTTTCACTTACAGACAATCTGTATACTGTATATAATGTGGTAACGTGTGGCCTGTTGTTAATATGGCGTCATAATTTAAGTGTTGTTTAATCACCTGATGTAGTTATAGTGTTAGCTTGAAGTGCGTTTGTAAATCCATGGTCTCATTCAGCTGAAGTTAGTAATTAGTGTCCCTAATGTGACCCCGTTAACATTAAATCCTTACTTAATAACTTAATCAACTTTGCTGCGACCAAAATCGTTCGAAGCGACTAAAGATCCAGCGCCTCTCTGCTCTCATGTTCCATATTCGTTTTATTTATCACGGCATTTGTTACTATTTAACATGACCTCTTCGAAAGAATCATAATGCTCTGAATACATTATCGTGGTGAGTTGAGCCTGTGTTCTTTGGAGCAAACATTCCCTGTCATTATTATCAGGAACAGCAGATAAACTCAGATAAGGCTACGTATTTTCCAGAGCCAATTCCAGTGAATATTATTTATATATCGACTTGGACAACGAAAGGTTCACTTTCAGCTATGCTATTTTTCCTGGTTTCTTTTCACTTGCCTTCTGGATCAGCATGCTGCGTATGTAATTTGTGCGTTAGATTGTTCGAAGTATATACAAGAGAGCATATTTTTGACACTCTCCATCTTCTTATCTGACTCCTGGTAATCCAGATTAGCATCAATAAGTATTTTGGCATTGACTTAACACGCCATAAATTGTGGTACTGACCGGAGAATTACTACGTTACCTCCTGTATTATGCATATGTCAGGTATTTCTTACTCATCTGAACTTTCATGCCCGTGATGCCAAGCAAATTATTTTTCAAGTAAAACGACTCTGATTTCGATGGAAGTGTTAATGAAAAAATTTGATTTAAAGCAGAAAAGAAAAATAAAAAAGATATTTACCGATCACCTAAGTTGATCTCTGACTCATTTTAGCGTAATCATTTATAGCTTGTATTTTTATCTTCCTGTTTATAACACTCTGAATCATCCGCGGATCTTTTTAAAATCATCTGTGGATCTCACTTCGAATCATCTGTGCAAATGATATGGAAATAATTCATATACTCACTTGGAATCATCGGTGTATCTTACATTGGATCATTTGTGATTCTCACGGACCACTGATAAGTTGCGTATGCAGTTCAAAACTTACGAGCGCTCGTTTGCTGTGGCTTTGTCCGTAGACTTTATTGAAATACTAGCTATGTTTTTTCTGGAAAACAATGTAATGATGGAAATCTTCGTAAGTGCCGCTAAAATTTCCGCACACTTGAACGCTCAGCGGCATGACGACTGGTGCTCGGCCGGTTACCTACATATTTCAATTAAGCAGGTATTACATTTTAATATTGGAACTTTAATTTGCAAGTTTCGGTCACTTTGAAGTTTTAAGCTGCCTTTATATGATTCGTTTTTATGTCCATCTTTTTGACACGAATGAAAATATAATTTGGACATGAAGGGAGATGTTACCTCGTGGCTGCGAAGTTGATGATGATTAAGTTTTTGCCGCGAATATTTTTAAGCTTTGGCTTTTTATTGCATCCATAGAATTCTGCGTTGATCTAAAATGATGACTTCTTTTTCTACAGTGACGATGAATGACAATTATTCTGTCATTCAAATTGCCCGATTTTTTCAATACATTTCGGAGAAACACCTGGCAACCAATTAATCTCTATCTTGAACGTGCCTTAACTTACAAATTTTTCTTGAACACGATTTTTTTCAAACAATTCAATGGTTCTCATCATCTTTGTGGGAGTGTGGGCATGTATTGGATGCTTTTGAAGTTAATAATTGCGCGTTTCGACACAACTTTCACTCTTCACCTGCCTGATTAATATAATAAAGTTCCAACACCTCCTCAATTATATGCGGCATGTACGTGGGTAAAGCAGAAAATGTATTACATGCTTGGGTGCCACTAGCCAATGAAATGGGCGTGTTCGAATCTGGTCAGGATATTTTTTTCTGTAAAACCGTAAGATGTGCTGGATTAGTCGCTTGCTTTGTGGGCTTACATGCATGGCTTACATCTTTTTTTCAGGTTAACAAAATTGTAAATAAATATTTCGCTTGATTTAGTGTTTTCGCTAGATGCCGAGCAAAGTTGTCGAATTTAGTTTTAATTCTGCATTGTCAAAAAATGTATTTTATTAGCTGGAAAAGTTCTTGAATGTTGTTAAATGAAATTCAGAACATTCACATGCGTTCGTTTTTTCGTTGATTGTTGATAGGAACAAATACGATAGGAATTCTTGAGCTCGTGCTGTGCCCGAGTTATTAAATAGACCAATTGTTGAACTGAAGAACACGCATGATTTTTTTTTCTGCTCATGGCTTATGTTCATTCAACGCGGAAACCTTAAGTATTGATTCAGGCATTGGGACTTGTATGTATAGTCATACATGTAAAATAAGGTAACTTCTGCATATTATAATAATTATTTAATAAGAAATGTGTGTAAATATTGTGCTCGAAATAGTTGTGTTATGATGATGTCTCATTATTCTGTTCGCATTGTTCTAATCTCATTAAAAATATGTTGCGTTGTTCAAAACGAAAGTTCAACTATTGCGTTATTATGAGGCTAAGCAGGGAATAGATTTATGCCTTAATTAACCTTCGAGTGAAGGTTTTTCTGATGCTGGCAGCGGCCTTTGTTCAGCCTTCATTGTTAAAAATGTCCACTCTACCAGCTGAACTGAAATTTTTATTAAATTTTTAAAGTCCAATCCTTGTTTAACATTTAGCCTAAATTCGGTTAATGCGATTCTGATGTAGGGGAATAAAATCTGAATTTAGGGAACGGTTGGCGGTATGGTGCTTACGAGTCGGGAGGTTGTAATATCATTCGGATATGTTAAACACGATGGAATATCTGTTACTTTAATAATTCAGCGTTAATTGTCGCTCGCACCCAGCTCTAGAGATCGAGTTCCACTCATGATAAGTTATTCCAGAAGCTCAGCTCATATGGCCAACTCAGCATTCATCTAATTCTGCTTGATAAATGAGTACCTGGCTTGTCCAGGGTGTTGTGTAATGCAATATAATGGTTCTGGCGGGTTAGCGAGCCAGTGATGGTCGTGGAACTACCAGTGGACTTAGTGCCCTGAAAACTGGCCTGTTACCCACCTCCATAATTGCCACTATACCAGGATAAGCGATTACAACAACAAAATTCAGCGTTAGTTTATATCCGTACCAACATTGAGATGAAGCAAGATGTCTTCAGAAAATCCCTATACTCATAAGTGAGAATATTTTGACTGATCACACGAACTTGACTAATTTCATTGTTTATTGGTTGCTAATTGCTTGGCGGTTTTCGAGAACCACCCGCAACAGGTCTTGAGTCGAATTTTCCGGCGGCGTTCAGTCGGAATTTTATTTGTTGCTCGAGGAAACATGTAAATTGAGTCTTATTTGTTGGTTGTTGTTTGTAATATTTATTTAGCTATTTACAAAGTAAACGCTTTTCCAATCTGATATTTCATATACGTTTCTCTTTGTGCCGCTTTGAAAACTTGTCCTATTATCGTCGATTCGACTCTTGTTGAGCAGGAATAAAATTATAATGCAGAATAAGGTTTTTGGTAATAGGAAATAATATTACGCTTAGCTTGTCACGCTTTTTAGTCACCTAGGACGCCTATGCAGGCTCAATCGTCGAACCTATAAACGAGACATTTTTTCATAGAATTGCCCCTCCTGAATTACACTGTCATTGCGATTTAACGCGTGAGTGCCGTGCAGCATGCCGGTTTAAAGTTGCGACGACTCAGGTCGTGCTCAGGCTCCCTTGTGGTGCCACGACTCATGTCGTGCTCAGGTTTTGCGGAGGTCGTGACGACGCAGGTTGTAAAAAGACAGACGAAAAATTACTCAAATAATCAGAAGGAAGCAAATAAAACAATTTTGTAGGAGACCAGTCCATAGATGTGAAGCAGAACAACTCAAATTAAAATATCAAACATGTTGTGCAAATGACGGCAGCAAATTTAATCGCAGGTCGACCGAGGGTGATGTCAGCCAGTGTTGGGCAGTTTGTCTGAGGACATTGAAGGTAGTTTCGAAATTAAAGGCCGTTTTGGGGCAGTTTGTCTTGGGTCATTGAAAGCAGTTTTCCCTATTTATTTATTGATTGGACTCTAATTGGTTCGAACCATTTTGAATTAAAAATCATAATAATATATTAATAATTTTACTAACTGTGCGATAATATAGAACTTTAAATACTGATGTATATATTGTGAGCTGAAAAAGGAAAGTAAAACCTAAGATTTTAACAATAAAATTATATCATCGTAGTCATTGTGACACTTCGTCAGTCCGGTATAGCGGCTGCACAAAAAAATACCTGTAGAAAAAGTGAAGAGTTTCTTGATTATTTATTATTTTGTTTGTTTAATGAAAAATTTAAAATCATTCCTAATTTTTTAATTCAGGACAATAGTGGAGCCTATCGAGAATTTCAAACTGTTCATTCAAATTATCATTGATGACCGTAACAATTGTTTTTGAAAAATAGTTTACAAGTCATCACAAAGTATAGGATAGTCAGATAATAAACAAGCATAGTGCTATCGGTGCCTAGTAAAACCTCGTCTCAGAATCACATTTATTCTGTCCAGCATCTTGCACAGCTGTGCCAACGCCGTCGCCATGACAACGTAGGTCCTCACAAATGCGAGTCTGTTCGCCCCCTGATTACTTTCAACAGGATTAGGCCTGATATAACATTCTACTTGTCAAGTATTCCTGTAACACCTCCTTTTTTATAGTTACTTGTTTGATAAATATGGTAATTATTGATTTCAATCAATGCACTCACAGAAACATGTGACACCAATGTATGATGCTCGTTAGTTATGACGTCATTGAAATCAGACGAAGCAGCGTTCCTTCGGTCGATATTGGTTAGGAGGGCCGAGACTGGCACCGCAGCCACACCACAGTTCCTTGCCAACTCTCGGGGTAGAGCGTCTGCCGCGATCGCATTTGTGCCGTGCCGGCAAAAACCTCAAATATAATCCTGTGCCGATGGCCCCAACGAATAGACAACTGATCAATTAACAGAAACTTTTGGCATAATGTAAGCTGGTCTCTGAAATAGAAGCGCTGATTGATTTCTCGGTGGTTATTTAGAGTTCTCGACGGTTATTAGCATATACACATTGTGCTTACGGATGAGTCGAACAATTGATATAGCGTCCCGGGAGTTGTGATGTTATTTGTTTTCAAAGAATAGTGTTATAGTGTCTAGTAATTTGAAGTTTGATCCAGGCTACGTTAAAGAGAGCAGCAGCCTAATTAAATACGTCATGACTTGAGTTCGTAATTCCATATAAATGTATAAAATGAGTAGCAGTCGATATTGAAGACTGGAATAAACAGTAACGGGACTGGAAGAACTATTCGGCAAACATGAACGTGATTTCCCGCCTCCCTGACAACGTTTACTCAAGGCGACGCCCATATTCCCACACCAGCAGCATTAAGAGCATTATTCATGGACCGAATATCGAAGACATTGAAGCGGAATTAAGAAAGCTTGAAATCGAACAAGAAGAAGAGTTCAATGCACGAGCTCGCTCTGCGAATCGCCTTTCGGCCAACGCTAAAAATTCGGCAGATATTCGGGAAGGCAGTGCGAATAGCAGTAGGCGATCCAGCGTCGTCAGCTCTAAGCTTCAACAAACAGTGGACGAAAAAAGTGTGGTTTCAGAAGAGCCTCAATCAGCAAAACTATTGAAAAATCGACACGCGCGTGCCTTAAGCGCTCGAAGCTCAACAAAGAATAATGCCGTGGAGAAAGGAGAAATTCTTGGGTCTTCAAAGTCTAATAATATGCGGCGAGCGAGACCAAAGACCTGCATCGCTGCATTCACCAGCCCAGGTTCCAACAATCATCATGGAAACAAGAGATTGCGTGACAAGTTCTCAGAGTTCCCAACCAGCGCACAACAAGGAGAGGTTCAAACTCCACTGCTACTGAGTTCCGCAGTGAGACATCCAGGCGATCCTGAGACGCTAGCGGAGCGCTACCAGTGGGGTGTCCGGGGCAGTGCACTGGCAGACTCGGCGAATTACGATACACGGGAGGTAAGTGAGTGCTAGGTTCATTTAATATTTAGATGAGCTTATATTGGAATAATTGTCGTGTCTCATTCCCAACATGCTCCACTATTATGACGGAATCTGACTGTTTCAACTTGCATTTACTCACATAATTCCTTTTTGCATTTTTCTCCCATATTTTTGATCGAATTCAATAATCTAGTCATTATTTCTTAATTAAAAGAAATTTGATAAACATTTTACCATGTCTTTTAGGTGCAATAACATCACATTTTGCAACGCGTGAAAGTCTGAAGACAGAATTTAAATTTAACCATTAGAGTTCCCAGGAGCTTAATCATTAATAATTTGCTGCCGCTTCATAAGTCTTCGATGAAATAAAAACAATATCTTCAACTGATATCTAATGCTGTGGAGTTATCATTTCTGGTCTCAGTTATATTTTCTCTATCATAAATATTCAGTGAGAGTCATTTGCTAAATACAACTTCACAAAAAAAACATTTCTACGTTCAACGTTACTGAACTGCCATTCAAAGACACTGCAGGCACAGCGATCTCTTACACTCAGTATTAGTGCCATGAGATTTACTTCTGCGAAATTCACTACTTCTCCGTGTCCGGGGCTAGGTTATGGAGTAAGACCGTTAGAGCAACGCATTCAAAGAAAATTCGAAGAAGTTCAATGGTACAATTTTTTTTATAAACAAAGGTCCTCATGATCTTATTGCCCAAATATTTATCACAATGTCCTCATGATCTTTTTACCCAAATATTTATCACAATAATTATGAAATTCTCTGAAAATTTGCGGTTTGCCTGGGACAACTTCACCGTCTGGACTTCCGATTCCCTCTTGTTGATGTGTACCTAGCTCCAATGGAATGCTGGAAGGTCAGGTAATCGCTGTCTCGTAGAGATGTTCAACACAATCCTCACCTACATTGCTCCCTTGTGTCCCCCCAAGCCCTCCAGACGGCGTGTCAAACCACGGGTCTCCGCGTCAGCGCCGCCGCGGAGCTCAGCGTCGAAGGCGAGTTTCTTCCTCGGCCACTTGGCCGGTCAGCCGCGGTCGCAGTCTGCGCGCGCGGTCGAGGCCTTCACGCCAGCATCGCGCATGCGCAACACCTACGTCATCGCGCCTAAAGTGAGCAACCAGCCGCCAAATACACGGCTGATATTGGCCCGTATGCTAAATAGGGCACTAGCACTACGAAGTAGCACTATGCACTACGAAGTGTCCTGTTGGTATGCTAAATACGTCACAGAAACTTAGCACTTCGAAGTAGCTCTACAATGTTTAGTGTCGCTTAGTGTCGCACTACTGATTCGTATGCAGAAAGACTTTGAAGTGCTACTTCGCTGTTAGAGTACTTTATAGTGCCGGACTACGCTATGAGTCTATTGAAGAATGGTAGTTAAGTGCTCAAATAATTACTCATTCCCTAAGTAATTCTCATTCTTTGCAGAAGATTGATGTAAAATGCCTAATTGTGATGGTAATGGTACTAGTAAAAATTGTGATGGTGAGCTGAAATTTGCAATGCGTCTGCGCACCTTTCCCATCATATATTCAAAGTCCACGCTTCCCAAAAACATCGAACAAAAGAGAGAAACATGGAAAGTTCTTGCAGAAGAATTCAAAATGACTACAGAAAAAACAAAAAAGAAAATACAAAACATGGTGTCAAAAACAATAAAAGTATTTTCTACTTCTACGCGGTTCATCTGTTTCGCCAAGGAAAACGTCAGCCATAAGAATAACATGTTATTCACTGAAGCGGTACACTTTTTTATATTCATGGCATGTAGTTCCTGAGGTTTTTACGCGATGATGCCTTTGCTGTAAGCCAAACAGATCCATAGCTGACGAAGTAAACAAGGTGAAATAAACCGTAGTGTCGTCGTGAAGTGCGGTGTGTAGGACACTTCAGATTTTTGTAGTGCGCGTTATGCTTTTGGCCCTATTTAGCATACCAACCGTAGTGTTCCATGCCGCACTATGGCTTGTAGTGCGTAGTGCTACTTCATAGTGCTAGTGCCCTATTTAGCATGCCAACCGTAGTGTTCCATGTCGCACTATAGTAGGCACTACGGCTTGTAGTGCGTAGTGCTACTTCGTAGTGCTAGTGCCCCATTTAGCATACGGGCCATACTGATATTTACCCTCGTCAAAATTGTACTCAGGGCACCTGTCGATGGTCGTATTGTGTTTTTAAGTCATGCCTGCCAATGAGACAGTTTCACTGTTGTTTCCAATCATATGGTGAACAAGTATGTTACCCGTGTCGTATTTCATTTGTAAAACTGTACTTACAATCGATACGATTATAACGATGTAAAATCATGCAGTCTGAAATGGGTGAAACTAATGTTTATTATTTTATTTACGCGTAGTTATTGTCAGTGACGAACAAAGCTCTAAATTAGAATTCGTTTTAAAGGTCTGAAGTGAACATGGACAAATTTAATGTGCTGTTCGAGAATCTAGACGTTTATGATTATTATGATCATTATTATTATTTATGTCTAAATTCACAGATTCATTTGAAGAACTTACTTCGTTCTGCTTCCAACATTGCACATTAGTAATATTAACCTATAGTTATTATGAGCGCACATGTGATAATATGGAACCCAAAGTGCACATGAACATTACATCAAACTGTTCACTGGTTACAACTGATGAATCGGATCATTCCTAGATGCAGTTAATATTTATAATGAATAAATTATTCTACTCGCTGTTAATTTTTATCATAAATATCGGCTAAATTAAACGCTAAAAATGATCTGCAACTCTGCGTACTGACATTTTGGAATCGTCCAACTGGCAGAGACTAAAAGTGTTCGAGCCGAGACCTTCCCCGCCTACGACGTTCAGGAGGATGTACGAGCGAGGCGACATCCCAGTCACCATCCTACACGACCACAGAGGACAGTCCCTCAGGTGGAAGGTGAGGTTAGCAAATAGTGGCGAAGTCCATTGTTAGCAAATAGTGGTGAAGTCCATTGTTAGCAAATAGTGGCGAAGTCCATTGTTAGCAAATAATGGTGAAGTCCATTGTTAGCAAATAATGGTGAAGTCCATTGTTAGCAAATAATGGTGAAGTCCATTGTTAGCAAATAATGGTGAATGAGTTAAAAATAAGAAGTAGTCTCTTTGGTATACTATCTGTTATATGAGATTTTATGTTAAAGGGTTAAATTTTGAAAATATGCTACAACACTCTTGATTGCGGGTATTCAATATTCATGGATATCTATGTTCTCGACTCTATTTTATAAGCACTCCAGTAAAACTTAACCGGATTTAAGGAAATCGAATAACGACGAAAACACTGTATATATTTTCTGGAACATTGGTTTTCGATATGTGAGTTACTTCCAACTCAGCAAGATAATTTTTATTTGCTGATGTACAATTTTGGCATCGAAATAATGCAGGCAAAAATGTGATAAATTCGCTGATGTCAAGTTTCGCTAATATCTTACTTACTAAACGTTTATTCGGGTTAGCATAAATTTTTATTCGTGTCAAAACCCAAGTTAATGCCCGAAAGCTCTGACAAATCTCATGCACTGTTCAGCAATTGTTTGATGCTGCTCTTCTCGTCCAGGTCGATCTCAGCAAGCCGGACGGACTACCAGCATTACTTGCCAATTAATATGTTATTATTATGAAATTCTTATTCATCTCCTCTCGTCCAGGTTGACCTCAGCAAGCTGGACTACCAGCTTTATTGCCAATTAATATATTATATTATAAGTTTATTCATCTCCACTCGTGCAGGTTGACCTCAGCAAGCTGGACTACGGTCAGTACTTGCCATTATTTTTCGACGGGCTGCGAGAGACGAGGCATCCATACGACTTCTTCAGCCGGGCGGGCGTGCGCGATCTGCTGGCCAACGGCGGTGACAAGATTGTGCCTCTTATTCCCCAGCTCATTCTCCCCATGAAAAGTAAATCTTGCTTGATTTCTAAAAATTTCCTTTATTTGATATTTTCGTAAATGTTTCTTGTCACTTAGGCATAAATAATGCCATAAAAATACACGCCTCGTTCAGAAGTTATCCATGAAACATGATCGTTTCATTCAAGCATTACAGGTTCAGCCCGTTATGTCTAAGTGCCTTAATTGACTATTTATGACGCCTCGCTTTCTTGCTTCAATTACGAAGTGGTTATCAGATGGTTGGATTATTCGCTGATTGTTGTTTTTTTAATTTTTTAATGACAATTATATAACACTTTAATTACAGCGTGGTAAAAGTAAACGTTTTTCGATAATAAAGTTTGCATATAATAAATTTTTGTGAACACTGGATCGAATTTTCTTTATGCTCCAGCGTTGATGATCATATTAAGATTAATAAGTAAAATTCGGAATGAGTATTACATGTATAAGCTCGTATCATATGAGTATTATTTGAAGTAATACTCATCATGAGTATTACTTGTATAAGCTCGTATAAGCTCCTATCATCTGTAACATTTGGCTCGTCATTACGTCATAAAAGCGTCTGCGTGCAATAATGTTTACAGAATTATTGCATGAATCCTGCCGGGAAAATTAGACTCCGGAACTAATTAAATGTTGGCTCTAAAGACGCGTTAGCCCCTCCACAAGCGAGCCGCCATCGATCGTTAATGGACTGACCCGACCCTCAAATACGCTCTGCAGCTGAATGTTTTGTTGTTATTTTTTGAGAAAACAAAATTACCGTTCACTTCATCCATATAATGTAATGGGCGTAACGTCAATATTCCTCTTGTTCTTACCACTTATTTTCATTTGCAAGAAGCTGCAATCCAATGGCGCTATGAAAATGTCAAAAAATCATTGACGCTTCTACGTTATTGCATTTGTTACAGTAAATCATTATTTAAGCTAACGATGAAAATGTCTAATTACTATCCATGTCAATTTCAAGAAACAGTTTTATCAGGATAAATAAGAAGTTAAGGCATTCCTCTTCAATTATACGTATACTAAAACCGTATTAAAGTATACTCAAAGTTACTAAACAAAATAATTCAATAGTACGTAGTCCCGATTTCCAATATTGTCATATAACTGTATTTTGCTTCGATAATTTCATGAATAAAACTTACGTGCACATTTAACAGCATTATGGCGGTGCGAAATGCTGCATATCAGCCTTCCATATGCTCATACATTATTTTACAGTTGCATGTGAGCTTCTATTGTGCAGTGAAAAGTGTTTTGGGAAAGTGATTTATATTTTTTTTATTGTTAAATCAAAATAACAAAAATAGTAAGACCTACAGATTCGGTACAAAAGAAAGAAAGACCTTTTAGTTAAAAAGCGTATCCGTGCTGTTAGTATCGCACCCTGTCAAAGAAATATTATTGGTAATTGAAGAGCATTTTTAGCAAATTTGTAATGTTGAATGCTTGAATTGATAATTTTAGATTTAAAAAAAAATAAATAAATAAATGAAAAAGTAGATGAATAGTGTTCAAGGCATAAAGCTATGGTGACATGGTTAAGTGGCATTACATTCTCGAGAGATCACGGACACTTTTTGTAGAGGTGAGCTTAATTGCAAAGGCGGTATATTCACTCGTAATGCAGTTTTTTACGAGGGACTCGCTTGTTGAGCCGCCTCGAGTCTACTACTTTGTTTCAGACACTCGTAATGCTGTTTTTTACGTAGGACTCGCTTGTTGTGACGCAGCATTTTCTTCCAGGCGCCCTGAACACGCGCATCCCTGGCGTGGTGTGCACGGTGCTGAAGGTCCTGCAGGAGCTGCTGCAGGCCGCCCCTGGCGCAGGAGAGGCCATAGTGCCCTACTACAGGCAGCTCCTGCCCACACTCAATCTCTTCCAGCATGTCAATGGTTGGTTTTATTAGTTATTAATTTGAATTATGTTTAACATATAATCAAAGAGGACTTGCTCTACAAGAATTCCATGTTCCAAAGCCGGATGAACGAAATCATATGACATTTGTCATGAGTGATCACTAAACATTTGAGCATTTGTACCCGATTTGTACATTACACTTTTAGCACATATTCAATAAAAAATTATAAACGTGAAGTTTGGAAAAAATTTTTTAACCTACTTTGGTTTAAGGTCCCTCAGTGTATCTAACTGCCCTGTGCTGCTAGTTTTATTTAATAAAATGCAACCATTTTATTTTGAATTCTGAGCCTATCAGGCAAACTTCAGGACCTGGTGACGTGAGCGAACTGAAAGCTTAAAGCCCTGAGAGCTGAGCGCTGGAAGAGCGGCGCTGATTTACTCCAGAAGAACTACTCTACAATAATTTAATTTAATTCAGTCCACTGATTGCTATTTACTTACATATGTTCACTGGCTCGCGCTGCACGCAAAATAAATTCTATTATCCGATTATCTCTTTAAATTCTCATTATTCAAAAACGATGAACATATAATCTAATCAGGAAAATAGAAATCAAGTGTGAAATGAAACTAACTGATGTCCATTCTTTATCGTTTGTCTTCAAACTGGTATCCTAGTGGACCATCTGTTTGGCCAAGCAAGATATTTGAGAAATCCAGAGGGAATGAGATGGACAAGTTATGCTTAACAAAATGTTGAAACCTTGTATACTGAGCAGAACTAAGCCCGCAGTCTTCTTTTCAAATCATAGGTTAGGTAAGTGGTAAACCTTGCCGCTGTGGTTGCAGTTTCGCATTCATTGTACATTTAATGAATGACAATGAACAGTTCACGAAAAAAATTACCACCAGTCAGTTGATTACTGAAGGTCGTATTTCAGAAAATTTTCGTCGTGACGTCCTAATTATATAAAGTTACTTATCCTCATGTAAAATCAGATTGCTGCTGAAGTAGCATCCACTACCCAGAGAAAAATTAGAATTTTCTCTCATTCATATATTCCATGCATTTAATATAATTTTCCAATCTACGAGTATAGAAGTTAATGAACACCTAAAACATACCAAAAGGATGGAATGCTGAAGCTAGACGCTTAGATTAGTATCAAAGACAGACTAGCTTAGCTAGTTCGGTCACCAAAACAGTTAAGAAATCATTAACAACAATCTTGAATTTGCATCATTTTAATGCATGTTGGTCATACTGATGTTTTCATAATTTTTCAGTTAACTGCGGGGATGAAATCGATTATTCACAACAGAGGAGAGAAAACTTGGGCGACCTAATCCAAGAAACTCTGGAGATGCTGGAGAGACACGGCGGCAAAGACGCCTACATCAACATCAAGTACATGGTGCCTACATACCAGAGCTGCGCTGCCACCTGAAAATACACTACATTAGTACTACATTAGAGCCAAAAACTCAATCTTAGGGCCTAATGCAAGCCGTATATTTCATCGCTCGCTTAAAATAAATTGGGTTTTTGTCACAGAAACATTCAGGCCTATAATGTGATGGGGTGCACAGATAAAAATTCTTCATGCCGTGAAAACCGATGATTAAAGCTAACTTGTTTTTAATCTGACAGAGAAACTAGAATAAAACCGAATGTTAAATGATCTCCTATATTCAATTTTTGCAAGCATCGGTAAAGTTTTCACCAGCTGGCACGCATCGTTATAATCGACATAGTTTATTTCACCCTAGAACGACCAGCGGGCCTCTTAGGCCCGTTTCAAGGAATTATTAGTCTATATTTTAGAAACTTGTAAACTTATTACGCGGAAACTACATGACTTTATTTGCGTAGTACATATGTAACCTCCATACAAAAATTGTTGAAAATAATGCAGTATTTTTTGATATTTTTAGTGTTACATCATATTTTACCAAGCGGGCCTCCGAGGCCCCTAAGTGATACAAGCGCTGCGGAGTCCCGTTGTGAATCCTGACCAGTTGACCACATTTACGAATATTGAAGGAGACTTGAAACTCAAAGATAGTTGGAAGCAACTAGATATTAAAGAACTCAAGAAACTTATTGCAACTCCTCTGCTCATTGGAGTTTACAAATCTAAAGGAGAACCAGTTCATCAATTATGGAGTAAGGATGATGGACGACCAATCTTCAATGCAATTTTTGTACGAAACAGGTTTCAAGAGATTTTACGCATGATGAGATTCGATTACGCTTGTGAGAGGAGGCAAAACAGGTAACCAGATAAATTGCAACCAATACGAAAAATATTTGACTTGTGGAACAGCACATTGCAAGATGCCTTTATACCGGGTGTAAACTTGACTGTTGATGAACAACTACTACCGTTTCGAGGTAGATGTCCCTTCCGTCAATACATCCCATTAAAACCTGGAAAGTACGGAATCAAATTCTGGGTAATTTGCGACAGTGAAACAAGTTATGCATTGAAATTGGACATTTACAAAGGCAAAGAGCCCAGCGAACAAAGAGCTTCAAATTTGGGAACTACTGTTGTACTAAATCTATCTGATTCCTACATATAGGTGGAAGCAACTAGATATTGAAGAACTCAATAAATTTATTGCAACTCTTCTGCTCATTGGAGTTTACAAATCTAAAGGAGAACCAGTTCATCAATTATGGAGTAAGGATGATGGACGACCAATCTTCAATGCAATTTTTGCACGAAACAGGTTTCAAGAGATTTTACGCATGATGAGATTCGATAACGCTTGTGAGAGGAGGCAAAACAGGTCACCAGATAAATTGCAACCAATACGAAAGATATTTGACTTGTGGAACATCACATTGCAAGATGCCTTTATCCCGGGTGTAAACTTGACTGTTGATGAACAACTACTACCGTTTCGAGGTAGATGTCTTTTCCGTCAATACATCCCATAAAAGCCTGGAAATTACGGAATCAAATTCTGGGTAATTTGCGACAGTGAAACAAGTTATGTATTGAAATTGGACATTTACAAAGGCAAAGAGCCCAGCGAACAAAGAGCTTCAAATTTGGGAACTACTGTTGTACTAAATCTATCTGATTCCTACAAAAACAGTGGTAGAAATATCACCTGTGACAACTTTTTCACTAGTCTACAATTAGGACGAGAATTGCTGGGAAGAAAGCTGACACTAGTTGGAACAATAAGAAAAAATCGAACGGAATTGCCGACTGCTTTTACGGTCACTAAAGATAGAAAGCTTTTCAGTAGCATGTATGGCTTTCAAAGAGATTCAACAATTGTTTCCTATTGCCCAAAGAAAAATAAAGTTGTCACATTGCTAAGTACAATGCACAATGACAAAGGTATCGAGTCACCCTGTGAAACCAAACCAGAAATAATTCAGCACTATAATTTTACAAAAGGAGGAGTAGATACCATAGATCAGATGGTTCGATACTATAGTACCAAACGAATGACTCGTAGATGGCCAATGGTTGTCTTCTTCAACATGATAGATATAAGCGCAATGAATGCCATAATTATATGGATCAAACTTCAAACTTCCTGCAATGCAAGAAAGGTGTCCGCCGTGCTCTGCTTATTACGTTAGCGAAATCACTTGCAGGAGTAACAGCTAATAACAACCCCCCTCTTCAAAAACCTGTTTCATCCTATTCGAGTGTTGCCGCAGAAAATACGAACAAGAGAAAGAGATGTTACTTGTGCCCTTCGAAAGGGGACAGGAAATCTAAGATATACTGCGAAGACTGTCAACAGAGCATTTGTGGTGAACACAGCGTCAATATATGTCTTCAGTGCAAAAAATAAGATAATAATATAATGCTTTCATATTCTTTTCAAATAGAATGGGTTAATATTTTCATCTATCTTTATTTTGCGTGCATTTCATTAGAATATTGCCAGCAATAGAGAATGCTTTATTGTATGTGTTAGTATGTAACCAAAAGAAAACGGATACACCATGCTCCAAATCTTAGAACAAAGGAATAATTTCAATAAAAGGAAGATTTTTTATTTAGTAATTATCCTAAATGCTTCAAAACATATATTCTCAGTATTTAACACTTAAAAGACCTTTTATATAGAAAATATTAGAGATAAAACAGAGCCCTTGCAAAAAAATAGGGATCGGGCGTAAACGACCCGGTTGGTCTACAACGCTATATATTTTTGTTGGTCTTTCTAGGGTTAATAGGCATGCTAACAACTTACTGCCGAGTTTGCATTATAGTCAGGTAGAGCTACAGTAATGTAACGATAACTGCCTCTTGTTGTTTGTAGTCTAAACTAATTGGGCGATACTTCCCTTTACAGGACGGGTGAGACATTTCCCAAAGCAAGAAAGAAAGACTTGTACATATATCTAATGGATGAACAATGTTGATGAAAGTTAAGCTTGTGACCACACAGCTCCATAATTGCCAGCGTCTCACAGAGTATCAATAAATCAGGCATAAAAAAGCTGGAAAGAGCAAATTTAATCTCCAGCCAAGCATGAGTAACATGTTGGTTGTGCTCAGGACTATTGTTCATCCTAATTTAAGCTGGGGAATATCACAAGCAGAGATATTATTTATCAATATGTTATTATACTTATTATATTCAATTTATAAAAAATATCACGAAAGTGATATTTGATGTTCAAAATCCGTACATCCCGTTTACTCTGTCTCCATGTTTAAGTAATGTATCCCCAGAGATAGAATAGATAGCTCGGGACGGTATATATAAATGTACAAATTTTACCCACCACGAGAAAGAGCCGCATGCGGTCTATGCGTTCATCCTTTTAAGAGACTTAAGTATTATTCTTGTCAAAGTAACTTCTGACAATATTTAAAAGTCTTACAATTTTCACTCTTGTTCAGTTGAGAATCATGGGAGGTAAACACCGCCACCAAATAAAAAATTTTAAATAATAAGAGTTTTTTCCAATGCAAGTTATCATATTTTTAAAGCCTGCAAACTGAATCGATCGCAGTTGTTTTTAGAATAGAATAGAAGTGTCGGCGTTGAAGAAATAGGTCCATGCATGGCCTGTTGCCGATTCTTGAACTTTTCGTGACTTGATTCACAAGGGATCTGGCCTTTGGAACCCGATCTTTCCATAGCTGACGATTGATTGAGATAGCTGCTGGACTTATTGCCTGCTCCGTAATTTGCTAGGCTTCAATTTACGCAACAACCGCTCATGTGGGACACTGTCAAATGCCTTGGCAAAATCGAGGTACACTGCATCTACTGGCTCCCTTTCGTCCAGCAGGCGGGTCCATTCGTTCAGAGTCGACAAGAGGTTAGTGGTGCAGGATCTCCCGACAACAAAGCCATGTTGACAGTCTGACAGGAGATTATTAGCAGTCAAATGATCTATCAATCGATATCAAATGATCGATATAGTGATCAATCAATCAATATCAAACAAATATCTCAAACAAATTCTATAGCTGACACGGCTTCTCGTATATCGATTTATACAGATAAATCCATTTTAATCAACGATTTTCAATCATGATTTTCTCGTTTGATACGACGAATTTCTCATAAAAAAAAACTTTCAAAATTCGGGGTGGCCGAGTGGTCAGGATTACTGAGAAAATTCAGGATTACTGTGACAACCTTGAAAATTCTAGCCGTAGTCGGCGATGTGTCGGATGATCAAGAATATCCAGATTTTGGCAGCGGTCGCGGGTTTAAATGTCAGGAATCGGCGTCACGCCAACCCTTTAGCGGGCAAGCATTGAAATATTCAGAAATTAAAATTTCAGAAACCATTTCAAGATAGTAAGAAGTATTATACAATATATTTATTTCTATGAACTTATGCAAATTTTGCCTATTGAAGGTTTAAATCGCACTTGAAGAATTCAATAAATGCGATCAGTACACAAAATTTTTCTTTATAATTAAAATTCAGTTTATGCAAATGAAAAATTTGAAACATAAAAATTTAATTTAATTAAATTTAATCAAGTTGCCAAAATAAATAAATATATATATTTATACTTCCACTTTTTGAAGAAAATGCGGAAAGAGCGTCAGTTCCATTGTCCGAGTCAAAACCTTCATTTAAATGCTCATATTTCAATTTGTGGTCTTTGCAGCTGGTGATGCTATAGATAGAACGATGGTCAGATAATTAGTGATTGACTGAGGCATTATAAGGATGCCTCAAAAACAAACAGGAAGCCGTGGTGAGGCTTTTTGTGACGCGATTTCAAGTGATCATATATGGTAACTTCCCCGTGAAAGGGTTAATTAATTAAGGTTGCCAAATCTTTCACGTTGACTCCGCTTCTAGTGTTTAAATAAAATATTTCGGCATTTTCAGCCTTGTGTCGGTGATTATCGACTTAAATATGTGCGAATGGTCCAATGTCTGCGAATAAAGATGTTTTAGATCAATATGTTTGTGATTTTATAGAAATTTGTTCATTTATTTGAAATATCGTAACTATTGTTGAGTACGGTACGCTATGAGGCGAGGGTAAAAACTCGTTACGTACAAATTATGAATGATTACAATTGAGCAAATGACTAGTCAGTTATAATATTTTTTCGGTAAATGGAAGCGATTTTGAGTCATTGGATGATACACTTCGTTCTTACAACGTTCACGTCCGAAACAAGAAATTCGTGATAAATTAATTCTAATTTCTTCTTCCTTTCAAATAACTATATTTAGTACAACATTCTGGAAGAGCAGATTCTGCATTGAGGGTTTTCAGGTTTTGATGTTAGCATTAGATAACAGCATCCTTTTGTATAGGTCGTGTTGTTCCATCATCCTTTTGTAGTCACGAGTACTATATTATTTTCAAATAATTTTAATCGAAAAGTAGTGTAAAATATTGGAAATGGTTCAATTTAATGTCAACATTATAAGCCCTAGAAAGCACTGCAAATGCATTGCATGCGCCGTGCATCGTCTAAATACGAGTCCCTGCAACGTCAGCCGACAAAAATACCATTATTATTTAATGTTTACCTGCGTAGTAATTCTAATTTGACTTATCAGTGACTTCTTGAATGTGAATTTGCACGCTTCCAGTGATTCTTGCACGAGGCTTAGAGTAAAGATAAAAGCTGTTTCCCAAAGAATCATGCAAATCCATTTATCATTTAACTTGTTCATAGACAATAGATGTGGTAGCCTTATTTCATGCAACGTTCTGAAATCGTTTTAAACTGAGTAGATAGAAATGATGCAATTTTGTGTCAAATCAATTTACAATAAATTTTAACTCTCGTGACACAGAACGAAAAGGGAAAGCTGAATTACAATACAATTCAATAACGTAGAAGAAGTATCAAGATAATTTTGATTGTTTCGCCTATCCTTGCAAATTTACTTTCATTATGCAGAAAGAATCACTCCTGAGTATTGCTCTGCCTTAAATATCAGTATTAATTGTAAGGTGCTTAAGTAAAAATGTTTGCGTTACTTGGTGTGCGTGAATCAAGCTGTTGCACGATTTTAGGCTGAATTTGGAAAACACGTTTCCGGTATCAAATTGAATATACCCTTATTTTTTAATATTTATATATATATATATATA